GTAATATTAAACATAAGCTATTCAAATACATAAATTTTTCAATCTATCCAAAATTTCGTCTGTGTAAAAAAAATGTTATAAATTCTAAATCATAAATTGGACGACTCTCATATCGATGTAAGAACTTAATTTTTTTAAAGAAAAGGAGGATTTCTGTAATTACCTAGATAATAACAAACCGAAGAATGTGCTCCCATTACCACCACTTCTTCTCCTCGTGAACAGGAATAGGTACAGGAATCTTCTCGACGATCGGAACAGGTACATGTACTTTTTCAACATGGTGCACTGGTACTGGAACGGGTACCTTTTGCACGTGATGGATAGGAATTGGTACAGGGACAGGCACCTTCTCCACATGATGCACAGGTATTTTCTTCACGTGATGATGATGGACTGTATGCACGTGATAAGGTACATGAACGCGTACATGGTGGTGGGAACTGAAATAAATTGATTTTCCTCAAATCTGTGTCAATTGCCTATTATTTTACTATTTAAATTCTGATGAAGAAATTAGAATTTGAATTCACCGTAAAAATTATCGTTAATTTATCACCATGCATAATTCATATCAAATTTCATCGAATTTTGGTTCACGATATTTGTATATTTCTGAAGACATATAAAATGACTATGAGAAAGTGAAAATAATCGCTTAGAAGGTTATTAGGTTTCGTTAACTTACCTATGGTAGCCCGGTACTGGCGAAGACAATGCCACGGCCAGTATTCCGAACACGATTAACTGCAACACGAATGTGAATTTGTGATTCGTCCATATAGCTAAAAGTGCACCGTGACACGCATGTCATTTATATGTAAGACGTCGATTTTTCCCTTTTTCTTTTTTCGAAGTTTCACTGCCCGCTCTACGTGCCTCCGGTTCTAATTTTTGCCAAACCGCCATCGAAAAGAATTTAACAATTATCTATTCGTTAAAATCATAAGCAACAAAAAAGAAAAAAATAAATGACAAAAGATCTAGATCCGAATATTCTAAAAATAGAAATACTCCAAAAAAAGTATATTCTACACGAAATTCTAAATGTATCTAAAATCACCAAAAAATTTATTCACAGAAGAACTAGATTCAAAATGGCCAAGAAAGTTTCACCAAAAAATTTTGTGTAACTCTATCTTTTAAATCACACCGTCAACCCTAATTCACAATGCTCGACAATTCACACGATTACGAAGCATCACGTTCTACTCACAGCGACAGTTTGGAAGCGCATCTTGGTTGACTTAGTTTCGTTCCTTTTCTCCTTGAAGCAACTGGAGTGCCCTCTGCTCTTGACGACCCCGCGAAACGACACGAAGACGAAAATTGAAAAAAAGAAACTAGGCGGCGACGAGAAACGAAACTGTGGAAATCGGATTTAAAGCTCGATAGTACGTCGATTACACCCGATCGATGTTTTACCGATGTCGATACGTTTCTGGCTTTCAACGGCCGGGGATGTGTGCTTATAAAGGACGAACCGAGGTGGCCAAAACCACCCGGTGAAAAGCCATTGGGGTGGGAGAGCTAAAGTCGCTCGAGTTTACGGTTACGTAAAAGCTAGGAAGCGGCGACTCTCTGGTTACGTCCGTTCCGCGCGTTCCCCAACCTGCGTAACACGCACTATACACCACGTGTTTGGCTCCACTCGATGTAATCCGTCGAAGGGACCACAAATGGTAAAAACGCGTTGATAATCGCGATATTAATTCGCTCTGTGAGGCACACCGCGAGCAGTGGCATTGTTACGTGGATAATTGTGGAATTGGAGGCTCTAGTGCGCGTTTCCCGCGATTTCTGAATTATGGATGAGCTACGTGGAAAGTCATTTTCCCGAATTTCGATGGACCCTTAACGAGTAATAATCGTGACGATTGAATTTGTTAAGAAAAGATTTGCTGGTGTATAAAATCAGAGGGATGAATGTCAAGTGTCACTGTGTGGTGAGGTTAAGTGGTGGTGTGTAAACATTTCAAAGACTTTAAGTCCAGAATTGTCCAAGAAGATCTGAAAAGAATGTGTACGTGGATTTTCCGGTGTGATTGAAGGTACAATTCATATCATAGCGTACATTTCTTGTATATTTTTGACTTCGAAGAAAATATTCTAATGAAGCCACCTTGTTCTAATGAATATTCTAATGAGCTGAAACTTTGGTTAGGTTTAGAAGGGGTTCGTGTACTTTGGACGTTCAAGAGTCGCAGAAATGGACTTTTGATGGAGCAGATAAACCTATTGCATAAACATTCTCTGTAAATTTTGCTTTTAGGTAAAGAAATTCTGTCCAACTGTTGGTCTCGAGAGATATATCAGTCTGATGCCACGTAACGTGTTGAAGACATCAGTGGAATTTTGCATTACGTGATCGATTTCACCCAAATGGTTTGCAAAATAATATGGACTGTCTTATGTTAATTATATGCATATACATAATAAATAGATAATCAATTTATGATACATATGTAAGTGCTTCATATTTTCCAAATTATATCATAAATGTTACTCTCTATAAACGAAATAAGATTCAAATTGAATATCTTTGTCCGATTTGATATAATTAATCCGATATAATTAACATAAGTTTAACATATACTGATATTTTGCAGAAAAGAAAAATTCAATTACGCATCGGTCATTCGATGTTGAAACATCGTAGAAGACATCGAAACATCGTAACAAACATCGTCAAATTTGATTCATTTTATTAGCACAATGGTGAACACGTGTTATCCAACATGGCGAATGATATAACCTCAGCGACCTCAATGTACGCAAGGAACGATGCAAGGCAGGTCATCCCCTATTAATTATGGCACCGAGAATGCAGCAGTTGGAACAGGAAAATTAAATTACAGGAGGCATCTAATGGTGAACATTGTAACAAATTACCTTTTCTTTCTTTGGCAAACAACATCATGTGTCTAATTGCGAATAGATTACAGACTTTATTTAATTTTCTTGCTATAAAGTTACAAAACTTTCCACTTCCGGTCTATAATTCTATTTATCTCTTTCCATACTCGAGTCGATATCCAATAACGATCATGAGTCCAAACAGCACATTAGAAAATTCTTTCCTATCGTTTTTCCTTGAAACACTTTTACTCTCACATGAATCGTTCGACACAAAATAATCGAAACCAATTTCTTTCTCTTCGACTACTTTATAGCGCTAATTGAGTGTAAAATGCATGGATGAAAATTGAATAATTAATTGCTGCAACTTCCTGTACTTACATGAAACTCATCGTGTCACTTTAATTTTATCGATTATTAACGGTTACACTGACATCGGTTTTACAAGTATGAATTTACAGTATATAATTTTCACTGAAATTTTGATAGATACGTTTCGTAATTGCACGTATGAAAACTTAACGAGACGCGAAAAAATACATTCTTTGAATAGAGAAAATTCGTGTCAGTTTTAACAAAAAACGTTAATCCAATCAACCACGTGGAAAATCACAATTTTGACAAACGTCACTGACTATACCTGGCGATTTATACAGTTATGACATGAGAATCAAGTTAAACCCCTTTTACATTCAATAATCATCACTTCATCCTGTTCTGTTAGGACGAAAAATGCAAAAAAGAATAAAAATGTAACAAGAGGAAATGATGAAATTTCTTAATCCAGATTCTACCGACATTTCCGTTGAAATATGTTGAATCGATTGGCTCACTTTCTCGAGGCGGCCGCCGGTGTTTTGCGAAAGGAGTCAGTGTTAAGAGCAAGGTAACGATCGAGGGATCACGGCTTGCCAGTGTAAAGCCTGTTGCATCTTTTTTTTCGTGCGTGTATAGTCGGCCCAGCCAGTGTTGCAGGAAGTGGTGCAGCTCGCATACTTAAAATATCCATCATACAGAGAGAAAGCGTTTCGTAATCCACTACCTTGTATATTTGACTGTATCTTACAAGCTGGGTACACCCAATGATTCGTTGGGCAAAATAAAAAAGACCCGATGATTTCAGAGAGGTCCAAAGTCATCAGGATTACGTAATGTTCTTTTAGATTCATGTGTGAAAGTAATCTGAAATGAATTAGGTTAGGTAAGATCTGTTGTACATTTTGCAAGAAAGATTATGATAGGTTGAAAAAAAAGGTTAGTTTAACAAAAATTGCTATTGTAAGGAACGGTTGTGGAATATCGGTGACACGTTGCGGATGAATTGTTATTCTTTTAACGTTGTTACTTAAGACTCGTTTTCTGATTTCTCGTTTTGAACCAGTGCACGTGTTAATAAAAAGCAGGTCCATTTGCAATAGAAATGCAACGAAATCGTCTTCGTTGCATAACGCTGTATTTCAATTTCGTGTTCTCAACGGGAACAAAGTAATTGAGGGGCCGGGCCACGTCGAATAATGATGACGAAAGGACCTGAGATTAGAGAATGAACGAAAAAAACAAAAGGTAAGAAAACGGTAACGCGTGTTACGACACATTTTGTGTTTTCAATGTACCTGTGATCGTTGACCGTTTACGTAAGGATCGTCTGCAATCATCCCCACCAAGCATTCCAAAACGCTTCTACCTCTTCAGTCCCGTGAAAGTCACGTCAGCAGGTCGATTTTGAGGGAAATATGCTTCGGTTAGCGTGCGATGAAAGAAAATGCGAAACGTGTCCGATGAAAGTCAAACGTTGGAACTGATCCAATGTATCGCATGTGGTATGCGGTATAATCATAAACGTGTGGCTAATTGTTCAGCCGATTCATTGGTACTGAAATTGAATTAATAACGGGCGATTAAAAGTAGTTGAGTCTCTTGGACTTGTTACGAGGCTCCTTCCTCTGTTACTGCGTATTATATAAGCAGAGTTCTGAAGCAGAAGGGAAATCCTGAATTTAATACCTTGTACACCATGGACCAGTGAGATACATTGATCTTTGAATATACATTTCATAATAAATGATAAGCAATATTGCTATAAAATAAAACTGGAACATGTGATATAATTACACCTTTATGTAAACAAATCAGATGAAGAATTTATCAAACAGTGATTTTTATTCATATTTTCATATATAAATACAAGTATAAATGCAATCTGATGGTACGTGTACAATTCTTGAATAATATATATAAATGAAATTATATATATTGAAATCTATTTAGAATCTACAATGCTGGCGAAGTAAAAAATATCAATTTATTCTCTATTCTCATTTCTCGCAGTCATAAGTCCTCATTTATGAGACAGCACACAATGTACTTGTGCGCTGTAAAACCTTATCAAACACTGCCACTTAATATTGTACAGTAGTAATTACAATAATATAACAGTATAATTATAATAGTAATAAACTATTTCTTCTTCTTTAATTTGGTGTTACCTCCAGACTGTGGCTTCTGCCAATCTAAAGGCTTACGACGATACATAGGCCATGGAGGAAGTGTGATTAATGCAGCCATTACAAATCCTGCACCAAGAATATACATTGTTTGTGAAAATTCTTGTATAACATATCCCCATATTAATCCAACTATCTGTAAAAACAAATCAAATACTTTGAATCTTAAACAAATTCTATGTCAAACAAATGCTTTTAAGTACAATACTTTACCCCAAAAAGTGTTATGATTACTCTTGATAACTTTTCTGCCCGACCTTGACCATCATAGTCCTAGAAAAAAATATAATTTTAATGAAGAAAATATATAATAAATACATCAATTTTAACATATGGTACATAACCTAACTATGAAAGAAATAACACATTGTACAAAAGCTGTTTGATATATTAAATAATGGACATTTATTAAAATTAAATTTATAAACTTACAATATATGTCGAAATTGATTGGATATACTGCACCCACGAACTCATTGTAAATAAATGAATGATACCGACAAATCGGCAGTATTACGCAAACCGCCTTCAGTATGGTCGTAGATTTCTGATAATGCATACGTCAGTAATCGTGTTACTACCATTACTATTCATGTAATAATTATTTATTGTGATAGTTATATTTTAAGGTCAACATTGACAAATTTGTAAATTGTAATAAATATAATTTAATATGATTAGTACATTAATATAAATTACATTGTCTTTGTAAAAATTTATATCATTGTTAAATTAATTAATGTTAAAAATGGAAACAAAAAAAATATCAATATTAACAGTGCATATAAAAATACAAAAGTAGTGTAATCAAAGAAGAAAATGATAGATTGGAATTACAAAGAATTGTGCTTTTTCCTACATCATATGTGTCATCAAATTTTACTACCTCATGTTCAAAAATCAAATTTTAACTTTATTTGTGTATCAGATGTTTAACAGTCGATTTTGTAACATCTGTTTATTTAAATTAACAATATTAAATACATACTATTTTACAAAATCATAAGTACACATCTTTCAATGGAATGTAATATATGAACCACATATCTTTATTTTGTACCAAGTGTTATTAAATTACACTTTATAATGTTATACTATATATTAAAATGTTATTAAGTACAAACACAGATAACAAAAAAACTATTTCTTCTTTTTCTGTTTAACTGTAACTTCTGATTGCGGTTTTTGCCAGTCTAAAGGATTACGGCGAAACATGGGCCATGGTGGTAATGTTATCACAGCTGCTAACATGAATCCTGCACCAAGTATGTATAATGTTTGTGAAAATTGCTGTATAACATATCCCCATATTAATCCAACTATCTATAAAAAGAAATTAAACACTTTTGATCTTCATTAAATTACATGTCAAGTATGAATATATTTAACCACTTACTCCAAAAAGTGTTATTATAACTCTTGATAATTTTTCTGCCCGACCCTGACCCTCATAATCCTGAAAAAAGAAATATAATTCTACTTAAGAAAATATCGGATAAATACATATGTGACAGATTTTTTACATATGAAACATAACCTAACTATGAAGAAAATAAAACATTGTTCAAAATTTGATATATCAATCGATTGATACTTACTAAAAGTTAAACTGTAAACTCACCACATGTGTTGAAATGGATTTGATATATTTCACCCACGAACTCATCACAAATAGATAATACTGACCCGGCACTACACACAAACAAATTTCAATATGATCGTAGTTCTTGGATGACACGTTTCTATTGTGTTTCCATTCATGTGATAATTATCTATGGTAGTAGATATTCCATAGTGCCAACTTTAGTAGTGTGATAAATAATATTTAATATAAGTATATCGATATAAATCACAACGTCATTGCATAAATTTACATTATTTTTAAAATAGTCAATATTTTAAAAATGAAAATAAAAGTAATATCGCATTACCGACAAAAATAAAATTTTATGATTAGTGCTTGCTTCATGTGAGCAAAATTTTACTTTGAAAATGAAAAAAATATTGTATAAAAAAATTGTTTGATAAATTAATAAAATTAATAAATTTATTTTAAAGTACTGAGTTATCATAGTCAACTATACAAGTAAGAATTTATAATGTTATAACTTTCTTAACTGAATGCTGTTGTGCAATTCCTATGGTTTATCATTTTACGGATATAATGTATATTATGTTACGTGTATTGTGCTTTCTAATGTTTTCAAGTATAAATTTCTCTACTGAAATTGAACAGAATCTAATATAGAAATGTAAGGAAATAAACATGTAAAACAATGTGTACTCATATTAATACAAGTTATACGAACAATAACAAGAAACCATACAATTCAGTACGTGAAATTAAATAATTTATGTATAACATAAAATTTTATTAAAAATTTCGCTTCTGTAAATTCCTTCACGTTATTTCACATCTGTATTGTTGGATTCTATTGTTAGTGTAAAAAGAGGTTACAATTGAAATTGACATCGTGGTACATGCCAAAGATTGTATCGGTGATCGGTTAGACAGAAACTATTAATTAGAATCCGTCAACTTTTTTCAGTGTTGACAATACTGTACATATGTGTCATCACCATGTCGGTTAGAAAACGAATTTCTAATCGTGTAACGGTATACAATACTTAGCTGTTCATTGTTGTAACACATTTATAGGAGAAACCGATTCACACACCATGTATAACTCTGTCCCGCGCTTTTGCTTGCGTAGAATTTGAAACAGGATTTGAGTGAAATGTTTCAAGGGCGACAATGTGCTATAAGAGTATTACATTCGAACAAGAAAATTGATGCTTTGGAATTATGAAATGTTAGTCGTAATCTGGTATGTCTTTTTACGATGTACTATATGTTATTTCATTTTAAATACTCTTACTTTTGAAAATCGAACAACAATCTTGCTTGAATATCAGCCGTTTAACAATCAACTTTTTATTTCAACTCTTACAGTTTTTTATTTGAATTAAAAAAAAGGAAGTAATATATATTTAAAATATATATTGAAATTAGTGTTTCATAAAGAAATGTGAATACAATTGATTTTAAATTAAATATTTTGAAAAATATTTAGGAAGGTTTCAAAAGATTTCATAACAATTTTTTTACAATATACATGATCATAAATATTATTTATTCCACTATGTTATTGTGTAAAACATATAATGTCCACTTGTTCTTAAAATCATACTTAATTTAATATTGCAAGAATACTGTACCGAAAAATATTATTCGATTTTACATTATTTTCGCATAAAATTCTAAATTATTTACTACAACTAGGTAGTGTGTGTTTTTTTTTGTAACGTGATCGTGAATCTCATTTGTTTTTTTCTTACAATTAATAAGGGGTTGTTATATTATTAAAAGATTGTTTAATTTTTATTCAACATACAAAATGTTGTGTAGTGTTTATAAGGATTTGAACCTATATGTATTTTGTTGCTGTATTACTACATTAATACATACAAAATTTAAAACAACATTCTATTAAAAAGATGGTATGTGATTTTGTTTGTTCTAATGGAAATCGACAATGTCTGCTTATGAATGTAATACAAAGTTATAAGTATCTTTAATTAAGCTATCTATATACGTTAAGGAGTGATATTGATGGGAAATACAAATTCTGTTAAGTTTTTCAAATACTTAACAGTTTTAAATACATAGCAAAATGGAGACTCTTAATAGTATCTATATTCCTACAGACTTAATCAAACGAATAAGATGAACACATTTAGCTTTCATAACATTCGTCCTTGAGCAAATTGTTTAAATTGAATTTGATAGTACCATAAAAAATCTATTTGTTTACCGTATAATACATTGCCTATACACAATCATAAGTATTCCCTTCCAAAATTCTTCTTCCTTCAACATTATATTACAATTTCGTAACATTCTCCACAAAGTTTCACGTTCAACATTTTCCTCATCGAATGTATTCGCTTAAAAATAACATGGCAATTGAAATCTTCAATCAGACACGTTAATTAAGTCCTTTCTTTGAAAACCATGAATGAATCTTGGCACATGCAGTCACTATAAGTATCTTCAATCAAAGCCTGGCAACAGACGTATCCTCGAATATTGACGAACTCCAGGCAGGTATGGTCAGTTCTGAATTGCACTTTGCAAAATGTACCGCATCAGCTACGGTGGGAAATGCGGCGAATAGACCGCTTTTATATTCCAACAGGTTGCATTTTCTCATCATCTCATACACAGGTCCTATAATGAGTATAAATTGTTGTTCAATGTGTCTTGTGCGTCTATTGATAATATTACTGTTTCCGGTACGATCACGCGGTACCGTATTGCGAATTTATTTACCGGAACAGCCAGCAACATATACTGGAATATCAATTTCGCAGTACTCATTGATCAGGTTTCCCAGGGTCGTTGCTCCTGCCAGATCTATATGACTCAGCGAACTGAGGTCCAGTATGAGGGTCCTCAGCTGTGATACAATGACAAGGAAATTAATTTTCTTTAAAAGTAGGTAGAAGTTCTATGTTTTCTTGGTTAGTGTAAGACATCTTAAATCTAGTTTGCTATGTAGGATCAATTGTAATTTTTTGTCACGTTACAATAGCTCTCACTTTTTTAACCTCTTTCAATTCGTCGTGTCTGAAGCTTCCATTCGATTCCTTCTGTGGTGCTTGTCCAGCGATTCTATATATTTCATCACGAAAGTGCTGCCGGGAAGCAAAGTTCAAGCTGCCCGAGTAGTGAAATATTCTTATGCCAGGCACCTCGACAGTCTGCAAATACAACTTCCGCATTAACGAATGTGTTTTAGACCATTGTGAAAATTTTCTTTACTTGAAATAAATTTGTTTTTCGAAGAGAAAAAAAAAAAGTGCAAAAAGATAAGAAAGACTATTATTACTCCATACGCCTTTATATCTCGCGCTATCCAGATAAAGCTCGGTACCAGGTACTAGAGCGAGCGAGCAGGTGTAAGGTTGAACAGAAAAGAGGATTAATTTTCCAATGCAGAGCATAATCCCGATCAGAAGGCCATATTCCACATCCAATATGATCACTGTTGTGAACGTTACCGCCCAGATAGTTCCATCCATTTTATCCAGTTTCCAGAACCTCTTAAACTCAGTCACCTTCATTATCATCCCTTTTAGAGCCACCACTATGATGCTGGCTAAAATGCACTATGAAAAAGAAAAAGAAAATTTATTTTCAACTTGAACATTTGTTTAAATTTGTGGATCTTTAAAAGAGAATACTTTTGTATTCTCTTAGAATGAATGATTTTTGTTAATTACCCGTGGCAAAGGCTCGAAGAATGGACCGATCCATAGAAGTACACTAATTAGAATTCCACAAGATATCAGACTGGCTAATTGAGTCCGTCCGCCGACAGTCTGCTGGATCAAAGATCTAGAGAGTGAAGCTGTGAATGGCATGCAAGAGAAGAAGGATCCAACTAGATTTCCAACGCCCTAGAAGTCATTGAGGATGTTTAATGGTAATTAGCTTCTTACTATGTAAACGAATTTGCGTTCTTCTATATTGGCCACGACATTGATTGGCGTCTGCAATACGTTAATTTTAATATGGCCAAGGTGTTAGCTTTGATAGATCAAAGAGTTTGACTTTGACAAATTGGGACATGTCTGTGATTTGAATTATTTAATTTGCTTGCCATTACATTAAAATTTATTCAAGGAGAGTGCATCAAGTGATATTGTTTTGCATTTTAATCAATGACTATACCGTTTGAAGACGTAATGCATTTGAATGCATTTGAAATTTAAGTTAGGGATATCATTAAAGCCGAAAGTGATCAAGAGCATTATTCTTAGATTATAAAACAGGTTTGGATTTTATTATCAAATTTAAGATTTAAAAAATTTAAATTTCGATTTGAGTATATAAAATGAAAGTATATAAAAGTATATAAAATGAAAAGTTTGTTTTAATTTACGCATTCAAAATTTTATATGTAATGTTATATTCAGACCTGTGCCATTAGTTCCTGATTGGAGTCCACCTCGTAGTTTAACTTCTGCGCGAAGATCAACGCCATAGACATAGATATGGTGTAGGACACCATGGTAATCACAAAGCTGTCCAGTAGAATATTTGGCATCAAAGATAACGGTGGCAAGGTCGGAACTGGTAAACTGGAAGAAGCGAAGGCGAAAGTTACGACGTTGTTTTATATTAATGTAACATGATATAACTCTCATGAACAAACTCGGTTACCCGACTGGTATGTCACCGACTATGGTAATCCCATAAACGTCCGCAAGATTTAGGTACACCGAAAAGACCGTGCCGATTATAACCACCAGCATTTCTATGGGGATCGGGAAAGGACTCAGCTTCGAAATCCTTGGCTATAAATGAATAATTCTTTTTTTAATTTGTGTTTTACAATATTTATCAGAGTTTGAATGTTGTTTAAAGAAATATATTAATTTATCATTAAATACCTTTAAAACATTGTTGATGACGAGAATCAAAATGGTGGCGGTAGATAGTAAGAGAGCAATCCCATTGATGGATTTAATGTTATTGAGGAAATCCACGTAACTCTGAAACAAGTTTGAACAGTTATAATTAAATCGTTTAAACTTTCTTCGCTATTAATTTTGCAGAACTTACCACGAAGTAAAATCTTGTTAAAATATAACTTATATAGCTAAAAGTAAAAACTCATCTTATGTAAGCGATACTATCTATCCTTAAATTATTTCATAACTCAAAAGTTCAGTTCCCTTACATAAGTGAAATACAATCAGTGAAAGTGGTATTACATTAAACGTACGGTGTTTCTTTTGTCTATGTCGTTCGTAACTCTATTATTAAGGCAATACCCTAATAGTTAAAATCCAAGTGTTTTGCTTCCTTTTGCAAGATTACCGTGTTGTGGCGCCAGAGAGACTTTTTTTTCTCTATATAAATCAAATTCTCGTTACAAAATAAATTATGAAGTTTTTTGGTCGTTGCAATACTTCCTCAACAGTTTATACAGTTTCTTTAGCTCTGCTAAAAGCCCTTTAAACATAAAGCTATTATAGATGTAACGCGATCATTTTTACACTTTTCATCGTATAGAAATTGATACCAGTATATTAAATTTAAATAAATAAGAATATCCTTGGTTACAGGCTGAAATAACATATACATGTATGTAAACATTTAAGTATTTTATATAGCATAGGGTGAAATAACATACATGTCTATTTCTACGGAAGAACTTGCACGTTTCTTCCGGTAGGTGCGCTGAAGCTCGTTCCTTCGTTTCAACGAGCAATCAACTGCTGGAAAGTTGACTATAGAATTTCGTTCGGTATTTCACGCGTTCGTTTCAGTTTCTTAATGTATTTGTTACGTTCACCTGTCTCTAGATAGAAACGAGAATCGAGTTCTCTGAAACAAACACGATCCATGTCGGAAATGATATGGAGTATAATCAACCGTGTTATACACGTTATTCGACGTATTTGGCACAAGGGGAAACGGAATAGATGCCATTAGCGACTCTTACTTTTTTGATTCCCGCGCATATTCCACTTTGACGACATGGGGAACGAACCGGAAATGTGACTGTCTCGTGTCTAAAGTAGGAGAAATCCGGAAGCGGGAAAAACTGCGCATTGGAAATTCTGACGCCATTATTCACGATCGTTACGTTCTGTGTAATTGGATATGAAAAATCTGTAAGTTTCATTGTCCTTTTTTACATCTGACGATGCAAGGATATAACATTCAATGACACTCTGTTTTCTCATTTATGCGTGAACTGACATGTTCGAAATCTAGGTCCACAGATACGGTACATTAGTCGTTTACAAAGAAATAAATTGCTATATAAAGGCAAATTTATAGGTTTGGTTAGTTACTACGGGAAATTACTACTTGTGAAACTGAGTAGATTTATGAACCAATCAGTGAACCCTTTAACAACTTTTTAGGAATAGTTAACGAAATGTAATATTTTTTTAAAGCTGTTTCTTAAAATCGTTCGAGAAAATTTTTCATTCTACGACACGAGAGAAGAAATAAAAATACCCGAAGTTTTTTCTCAAATGTTACATTGTTATAAATTCCCGATGAAAATACGTTTCTATTACGTCAGAACAGTTAATAGTGCGGTTTAATGATAGTAATATACAGGATATGGTCGTTCCATTGTCGAGAAATAAAAGAGTTATTTATCTATTACGATAAACAAACGTAATTAACGCATGGACAAATTTCATTACGTGCTGAGAGTTCCGCCAGCAAAGTGCTGATACTTCCGTCAGTGAAATACTGATAGGCAAGCAATAACGCTGATTACGATCGTTCGCAATGAAAGCGAAAGGATTATTTAAAAGGATTACCTAATCTAGCCAGCTCGTAAATCGACGAAACGTATTGTCAATAATTATATGTCTATTGACTATCATCGTGGATATATTATACTTCAAAATTGAATATAAATAAATTTTTTAATTTATATTTAGCACGGTATGTAAAAAGTTTGTACAGATTTCTCGTCATTTAATTGCTTGATTTCCTATGTTACGATCAGAGAGAAAGTACATATACCCGTCGATGCAGTTCAATCATTACTCAAAGGTCTCCAAGCTCGTTTCAGTTACGATGAGTTCGATGACCTTCTATTTTTCACCATAAATTTCGCTTAACAATTTCGAATCAACTTCCTGTTTTCCCTTTACACGTATAATCCTTTGGTCAGACATACAGAAGATCGACTTCATACTCACGAGGATCAATCTGAAGGCACCTTTGCGCTTAGGCAGGTTTTTCAGTCCTAGCAGATCTTTCACCTGTGACGTGAATACATGAATCGCTGCAGAGGTGATGAAGCCACTTACAAGACTGTCAGCCAGGAGAGTAGCTATTACTCCTAATCGCAGTAGATACATTACCAACTAAAATAATTAAAAAATTGTTTATTTCAGACGAGTCTGCAATTGTTTCATCGATGGAAAGCCAAATTAGGTAATAAAAGATTACCTCAATCAAGGCTACGGTGAAAGTGACAGCGGTGGCGACTTCCACGGGGGAATATGTATTGCCAGTAGAGGACAACATCTCAGCCTCCATAGTGCCATTCTTGTATTGTCCTTGGGAGCTGTAAGTCGCGACCACTTTTCCAGTCATCATGCAGATCAGAGCGAAGGTACCTTGACACCAAAAGGGTATTGATTTTAATTAGGTCACGAGAATTCAACGACAAATGGAGTACTTAAAGTGCTTTCAACTACAGAATTTTAACACGAGTTAAATAATTGGCTGGCTTTGGATATTTTTGTAATGCGTCTAATAACTTTGCTAATAGTATCAGCAGTGAGAACAGAAATTGGATTTTCTGGTATAAGAGAAGTTTCCCAATTATTTGAAATTTTGATAATTCACGTGAGAATTAATCTTCAGAAAATTAGCTATAACTTGGAGGAATTTACGTTATGATACGTGATATATAATTGATTTTAATAGTCTAACTTTCGTTATGTAGGCTAATAGGCACACGTAATAGGCTTACGAAGCGGAATTAAAACGAGAAAATGCAGTCAGATGCCATGCGGAATTGCATGACGATTTTGTTGAACTGACGATAGAAAGTGAAGTCGAAACGAAAGTTAGAAGGAAGCGGATATGAGGAAACATCGTCGAATTACGAGGGCTGCTCTCTTCAAGAATCGCAGAAATTCATTTCCCACTATCAAACCAATGATTCCAATCGATCGTCGCTTGAACGTATCGTAGGATCGCTCACCACCTGGAAACTTTCAGTTGCATTTAATACCAAGATAATTGTAAATACTTTTAAAGTCATGGATGATCAATCAGTGACCAATCGATAGCAGATAACGGTTAGGGAAGAGAAAGAGCGGAATCGTGAAGCTTTCGTATTGCGAAACGTCAATGTTCAGATCAGTGAATCATGCTTACCCATTGAATTATGTTTGGACGTGCCGAGGAAGAAATAAACGAGAACAGGGAAAAACGCCATGTAGATGCCGACGATCGGAGGCACGTTGCCCAGTATTGCGTATGCCATTCCTGCAATGCAATTGCAAAAAAAGTAATTTTAAATAACACTTCTTGTTGTACTGTCATTGCGTGGCATAAACGGAATGTCTCTTTGTTATTTATAGCTACGTTTTTCCTTTATATTCAATATTTCCGACATCGTGCTTCATGTTGCACGTTATCCTAAAAAGATAAGTGTTTTATTGCATTTTCGTAATAATTTTCTAATTTTAATTTTACAACAAATAATTAAATTATTTTTCTATGATTCTATGGAATGCAGAGGTATTCTTTAATATTTAATATTTTATCGTTGTTTATTTATAAAAGTATAAATAATTATTACTTTTTTGCTATTATCTAAGAAAAACACGATCTTTTGTTAAATACTGTACATAAATTTCATAAATTTTGACGAATCTAATTTTAGGTTTATGGGAGTCACACCTTTACAACAAATGTGTGTACACAAGAGAGGACAGGTTTTCTCAATGAAATTTCTCGACAATGGAAACACTTAACGCTGGACTTCAAATTTCTAGAATAAACAGATCTCTGAACAACGTGACTTTCTAACGACACAAAGCATTATCATGTAGAACGGTCAGTTCATTTATCTCTCGAAACAGATTATTCTAATATATTCAAGTGTTATCGTTCAACAAATGTTTTTGTCTCACGCACGTCTACTGACTTGTAAAGCAAATGTTTGGCAAATACTCGTACCTTGAGGGATATGCATTACAGCGACAGTGATTCCAGCAATGATATCGCCTAGTATATCGTTTCTCCAATCGTACGCCGACATCCAGCCAATAAGTGGTATGGAATTCTTTACAACCGTCATTGGTTTGATTTTCTTGCATCTTGTTGAAAAATTCTTCGCAACTGTGACATTGATCACTCGTAAATATCATTTTGTTACTATTCTCACACTACTACTCGGGCACACTTTTAGCGGAATATGGAACAATGCGAACAAAGGAATCGAGGTTTCGAAGGTGATGTTAGAAGAAAGAACAAGATTAATTCAAAAGCTAGTAAAACAATTTATTGTTACGAGAGATCTATTCCCATAGTAATACAAGTGTGAAAGCTAGATAATACTTGTTAATATTTGTTAGTGCTAGTCAATCTAATATAACAAACACGGGTAACAACGTGCTAACCTCAATGTTTGGCTAGTATATATACGTATCTACGATCAAACGTATTGAATATCGTAATTACAGTAATATTAATTCTATATTATACGTTTCTTGCGATAAAAACTAGTAAACTGAACTGTTTCACAAGGAAAGAAAACGTTCTTCTTAGTTTAAATATGAAAAAGACTTCTTTCCTTTTCTCAAGAAATATTGTTTCTCGTCTACTCGATGCAAAATTTACAGAACAAACATCAACAGTTTTCACTCCTTCTGTCAGACAAAGCACTGCTTCACCACGTGGATTATGCGACGCCTAGCGGCAGATTAGCAACCATCACGGCGCCGCTATTCTTCGATTCACACGTTTGAAATCCATCTGATACTTACATGTTGCATTTGGCTTTGCATACTTGTACAAGTGATTAAGCTCATCCTGTTGATAGATCGGTCGTCGCACCGTTAATTCCGGGTTGATCGTCGACATATCGTCGCTCAAGTAGTCTGTGAATTATATTTTGTTAGATTTGATTTTATGTTCGATTGGAATTTGTGCGCGCAGTCATTCTAAACTAGGATTCTCGAACGTAGCGCGCGAAATTCGAACCGTTTAAAGGAAAAATACATGTCTCAGATAATGTATATCTGTACGCGTAACCAATATATGGAGACAAACGTGTACGAAGTCTCACGAAGTAACTTTTTATCGGTGTTATTACGCAAAATTACGTAAATTTATCTGTTACATGTGAATAACGGATCGTGAAATATACTTGACCATGTGCTTTTCCACTTTCCAATTCCATTATCCAGTTCTCTGTGTATCATGTGAATATCTGTTTCGTAAACCAATCATAACGATATTTTCTTAAAATTGCATATCAGTGTTCGATTGCAACTTTTATGCTTGATATTCGGAATTCGAAATTAAATAAATATCAAGATTATAATTTCGAATGGCGAAAAGTGTTTGATTTGGAAATGATCATATTGTGACATTTATAAATAGATATGTTTGTTGCATATGTGAGAACGAGTACATTCTTTGAAAACGGGTAGCACGAATACCAATGCTCCTTGCGTGAACTAGAGCAGATAATCAAGTAACTGCACTTTTCAATTTGGAGGTTAACAGATTTGAGCAGTTAAATTTTAACACACAAATCAAAGTATACATTTAATTGTTCCAATTTGAATTTTATAATATAAATTGAAATATTTGTATTTATAAATTTTACTATTTAAAGACATCATTCAAATTAGATTTATAAGAACCATATTTTAAGTTTTTTAATTAAATACGCTGAAATTCTTGTTTGAAGGCAAGACTCAATATCACTCAATAGCATTTAAGAGACTCTAAATTAATTATTTAATTGAATCTCAAGAAATGATTACGAAATCATAGAAAGTAGGTCCAACTCTGAAATACTGCAATCGCAAACTATACCTATCTAGATACCTTCGATTTATATTATCCAATCAACAACAAGCAGCGACACTAGGAAACCAATCATCTTCAAAAATATCTGAACTACACTTCAAACATTAAAACCTCCTTATTACACATATACGCACTACCGTACCATTGAGTATCACAAATATAAACTCTTCTAATCGACCATGATCTACGACACTGCTTCCTTGTTCGACGATCACAGATATTGATCAACATATCGAATGCTAAGTCTACCTTGTCACACTCGACTATTCTCAGGAATACCTCCTCACATGCTGACTTAAAACTTTTGAATTTGAAACCTGAAACTTCAAAATTTCCAAAATTCGAGATTTTCAAAATTTGGAATCTTCAAATTTTTAATTAAAACTCAAATTTTCGAATTTTCGAAATTTTTAATTTTTTAATTTTTGAACTTTCGAAATTTCTAATTTCAATTACAGGTTTAATTAACAAAACTACACAGCTAATGATCAACTTCGATCGAACGAATCAACGCGCTTTCTACGACACATCGGGGCGACCCCATAGAGAGAGAGACCTGTCATGGCAGCGACGAAGGCGTAGTCCACTTGCACCGGGCACGTATTCTCGGCAGAGTGGGCGCTCAGCTGAACGTCACTACGAGTTCTAACGAAAAAGTGCGGCTGGCAGAAGATCGAAGCGCGATGATAACTCGGCTTCACCGTCTATCGCTTACTAACGTGTTGAACGTGAACGCACGCTCGGCGCTCGACGCATGCATTTTCCATTGGAATTCAGTCACGTGCTGGCGATCGGGCCAAGAGCTGCCACATAAACGGGTGTCCGAGTGCCGAGTTCATGGATGACACGAGTTACTTGACTATGACGATACTTCGTCGCGATTAAGATGTTTAATTGGGTCGCCGTAACGATGAGCCCAACTGGATAGAAAGTGAAATTGATGCCTATGTCGTGGAACAAGACGTTTGATGAGATCAAATTGCATCATCCAGAGTTTTAACCCAACGACCCTCAGAGCATTTGCAGTGTTTCTCTTTACGCCTCACGCGAAATTGTGCCTTGCGCATTCATATGTTGCACATTGTATATACAGGCGGTGTTGACGGTGCTCGGCCAAGGTTAGCCCGAATAACGAATGTAAAGGTAACGAGTATATTCCAGTTCTTAAATTTCAAATAAAGTGTACGGGGTAAATATGATGTACAATTTTTTGGTCGTTTACAGCCGCCTGGCGAAAAAAAGTTTGGAAGAAAGATTGGTGTCAAGCGTACGACAGAGAATAAAAGTTTCAAAACCGGTTTGTTTTCATAGCGAAATCAAAATCAGCTTGAGATTTTCAAATAGAACCAGGTATTTTTTTTATCACATTGTATGATACATCATAACGGATATAAAAATACTACACGATATTTTTACAAACACATTGGCAGATCCACAGTAGTGGAAATGGGAATATATAGATTTTTGTGGTATTTTACTTTTAGATAGTGTAAACATATTCGTGACCTTAGATTACTCAATATGAACTACTAGGACCAGGAATTTATATTGTTATTATATAATAACATAAATGATAGTTAGTAATATATATACATATTATATTTTATAATTGATAATATTTGTTTCTAATTTAGTATTTTTTATCCACTATATGATATTTTACTAAATAAAGAATAAATTTATTTTTAATAAATTCAAGTTCAATTTATTATTATTCCATTTATTTTAGGGCAAGACAGAATTAGGCTAACCATAAGAAAATAAAAAATGGAACTTGAAGAATCTATCGAAACAATAAATTTTATAAATGTTATTTTACACTGTAGACCAGTGAATCGACATTAAACCTGCTACTCATAGAACGGAAATCCGCTAAATAATTTATCATGCCAACTTTCGAGGAGATAAAACTATCTTTCAAAGACAGAATAAGAAATACATCCATTAATATGGAAAATAAAGAATATTTTCTACATATCTAAAGAAGAAAAATGTTGAACGATCATAAATAATCTCGAATAACCTTGAACATATTAATGGTACAAAAATGTGATATAAAAAAATGATAAATAGAAAGCTACTGCCGAAAGGTTATCTTTAACGTTTTTAAAACTCACTTATTTACAACATGCGACTAATATTTCGTTACATCGAATGTTTCTTTATTACCTCTGAGAAACATCTTAACTACTTAATCTTCGCAATTAATCCCCCTCTTAAAATGGGTCAATACGTGTCTATAAATAGAACTCCATAAATTATTCTTGATAGATCAACAGTATCAAAGGACCAAATTTTATTTCATCTATCACTGTTTCAAAAAGTTCAGTTTTATATAAAAGAATAATCCCTTGAGTCTCTAAATTAAAGTTAGGTACCTCTGTACCTGAATGAAGAGAGTCTTTGCTAAGAATAACAATACTTGACACGTTTGTCTCATCACTCGTGACTTTTTAACCAATTGAAACATATGCACGAACTGCGATCTGTCGATAGAGTCACGCGGTTTCCAAAGCGGGTCGAAGCCGATAGCGTGACGGTGTAAAAATTCGCAGAAATGAGGTGAAACTTTCAAACAAACGAGTGTGCCGCTTATCGTGACAAGACGATATGAAACTCGGATGCTTACCGACGATTTAGCGAGCTTCGTACTCCGCCTCTTAATCCACGGTTTTTTTCGGTTATCAGGTGTAAAGATGATTAAAACCGTTATGAAAACAGAGAGCTTCTATCCTTCTTTAGTCGTGATCACTTGTGGTAGCTACAGCCCGAGATAAATCTCTGAGGCGGGTATACAATGATTCCTCGAAGAAATTAATTAGAAGAATACTCGTGAGATAATCGATAATTCCTGTGTCACTGATGTTTTTGTTTTTGTAGTACAGGAACAGTCGTCGAGTAGAGAGAAAGAGATATCGGAATTAAGTGTTAAAACGCGAGTTGGAAGGATTGAACAGCGTTCGATAGATCGACGAACGTTAGCTTGTCGGCAGGAACGAAACCAAACTAAGATCGTGATCTCGAAGGAACGAAGTACCAGCGAGATTTCACTTTTGATCCAGGGACGTATCGGACGTCTACAGCGTTTCTGTTTGCCTTTGTTACGCTCTGGTGTAGAGAAAACGTTGTATCATATAAATCCAAAGTGTCATGGCGCCAGGGTAAGAATTTTGCGAAAATGTATGCTCTGTTGACGCATGGAGCCTCACGATTTATGAACGTCTCCCATCTTATCTGCTCTTTCTGTTTCTAGCTGTGCAATGGTTGGTCGGGTGGAACAAGGAGAACCGTAACGCCGTGATTACGATTTTAAATAAACAGAATAGTCATGTCTGTGATTATTCTTTTTATTTGGACTGCTTCGATATTTGCTTCTGAATGGACAAGTGGGATTTGATGTGTTTACTCTTTGATTTGGCTTTGCTTGTACTAAATCGTGCCTTATTATTGGCAATTATTAATTATTTTTTATAAGGTGGAGATATGTAGAAAGTATATATGTACAATTGGCTGAGCGACTTCTGAATGTCGTGATAAGTAACACGTTTGTTTATTGGCGCAATAGAAGACAAAATATTAATTATCTGACGTCTAGATTATGTGCAATAAAAGATCTGTTGTCATAATCTGATAATAAAAAGAAAAATGATTAATTAATGCGTAACGGTTGATAGAAATGTCACTCTGTCAATATAGTAGATAGATCAAATTAACGAGACGCGAAGACGGATATTTGATTTTATTTTAGATTCTTAATAATATTTTTTTAAATTGTAATTATTTAAATGTAAAGTATCAGTTCTTGTAACATGTTATATAAATTTCCTATTCTAGCTATCTGTTTGTTCTAACCTAAAATTGATATTTCGAGTTATAAATATTTCGTATGTACTTTAGTCGAAACTGTTATCTTTGTTTCCTAATCTCAGATTTTGATATCATACATGACTTAGTTTTCACTTGATTGCTGGGGATTATCTGTTTAAATTGCACAGTGTAATATTCAAGTTTTCAAACACGACTTTCAGGTTTATTTCTCAGACCATATTTCAGGTTCGTCATTTGAGTACATCTCGACAATGCTAAATCTCACAATCAATAAGATTCGATACAAGCGATTATCTGCATCAGTAAATAAATATTTTTTCTCTACACAATTCACACTCCAACTTCTTGTCATTAAAACACTTAGTTTTTCATAAATTTCCATTTTCATTCGTATTTTATCATCCTCGTAATAAATCTTGTAAATTGTGGGAAACTGTTTGTCGCCTTTCTTGACGCATTAAGAGTAACGATTTACTCCGAATATTGCTGTATCACATTTGTTTTGGGTTATGTAAATCTTCTCGTAGCTATTCGACCTTCAAACTTTAATGCTCTTTATCTTTTTCTATGAAAAGTATCCAAAAATTCGGGCAATCTCCGCATGAGTATTCGTTAATAATTATTCAGCACTCATGCTTATCTTGTATTTACTTTCAAAGCATACAAAAACTATATATGATATTTTTTAAGCATATACATATAATGGATACGTTTGTGTAGCCTTCGAGGTCCTTTTCCCCCAAACACGGAGAAGCAGTTTTATCGCTTGGATATATTTCCCAATGTCTCGAGTTTATTTCACAAGGAAAGAAATAGCATGATCGAAACGAGTTCAGCCAAGAATTTACTGCCAAGAAATTTATTATTCTGCTTCATGGTACCGGTTTTTGTGGCATTCCTCGCAGTTTCGAGCCGAGCCACTGCCCTGGCTTTAAATTATTAGTGATAAGATATGTACTTCTAATAACTCGTTGGTGGTTTCCTGTTTTCTCGCCGAATGCGTGCCTTCTTGCATCATGCTATATCGTACGACCTGGGAATATTTTGCGACTGAAATCTACGTATATTCATGATTGATTAACAACACGTATGTGATATTTATTGTTTTTGAAGATACGTATAGAATGTATGATATTGTTTCTGTAACTTTTTACCTGTTGAGATAAGCGAAATTTATCATTGTATATGATATTATATATAATTGTAAATATAATTTACCATCTCCGGCTTGTAGATGGAGAAAATATTAGGTTGCAAGCAATAGCTATTTTGTGAAGATAAAATGGTGAGTTCATTTGTATATTGATTCTTTGTGCAAACTAGGTGAATTTGTGAAGATTCTAATAGTAATGAAATAATCTATACTTTTTAAACTTTTGTCGGTCTCATATCGGACTTAGAACTATTATTTCTGATTCATCAACATGTGTTTCACTCAATGGTATCGCATTTTTGTTTAACGGTTTAACGTTATAATAACAAAGCTATTATCATGAAGTCGCTGAACTTTCGACGCAATGACTAAAACTCAAGAGGCATTTAGCTATTTCAATTTTCATAGAATAAGAGATCGCGTAAAAGGCCCATGCAACTATTTTCATATTGCTAGCTCTAAATACTAAATATTTTGAGCTAATTTAAGCGGACAGTATCATAAAATTATTTAACACAAATGTGTATAAAAATTATGATCAATAAACAACACGATATTACACTTTTCTCTTTTACTATTATTAAATATAAAAGAAATACAAAAATGTCAAAAAATATCTAGAAAATTCATGGGTTTTTTCACGCAAGAAGTTGTCATTGGCAATATCCTATAAAGCAATTTTTCGTAATCTGCAGTTTTTTGATCAACCAAACGCTTTTTCATCGTGGACATTGTATTAATATCCAGTTGAAATCCTTCGTTTCCAGAATCTATCCAAGTAACGTCAAAGGTAGACTGATTAAAATTCTTTGGCGTAGGATCTCTGAAAAAAGAAAGATACATATTATTATAAAAAAGTCGGGTTTTCTTATCTTTATTCTTCTTTTTATTGTACCCGTATTTGGCGAAATTAGTCCATAGAGTAACCATCTTCTTCCTGAATAGGTTGAACTTATCTTTCGGGTCAATAGGTGCATGAAGAGACTTTGCGTTAAATATGTATCCAACATCGTCGAAATGAGCAGTTCCTGCAAGAACTCTGGTCCTTATACACCATAGAAAGAAAATAAATTCTAAAAACAAATTTCTTTAAAAATACCATTCAAAGGATTATTTTGGAGGCGATGCATGGCATACTTTGTTTCATACGATAAACGGTAATAGTAATTTGGATGACCTGTATTATGCTTTGCTAATAGTCTTTGGGTCAGATCGATAGGACTGGAGAAAAATATATCCATCCCGACCTGTAAACAAGAAGAATATTTAAAAAATTTTTTTAAAAGTTATAGGTAGAAAAGAATAGAATAAGATTATTTTTATTACATAGATTTCATTTCGTAAGTACTATATTTCAGATACCTTCATTAGTGATTTCAAGCTGCTTTTAACTAAATTAGTTACGAATTCCGCCATTAAATTTGTTGGTTTACTTATAATACCCAGATTATGTTTGTCTATGTTCTGCAAGTACCTTTTGGCCCAATCGATCATGTTTGCTACTCTAATTGAGGCTAAAATAAACTTATGGTATAATAATTGATATTTCAATGTACTATGAAAAAATAATTGTAATACTCACGACCAAGAAACATGACAAGCTCATCGCGAGTGTAACCCAACATCGTATCGTGATGATAAAAGTCTCCGTTATGATACTTTGTTATTGGACATTCTGTCAGAAAAGTACTGTTGCTAAGATCGGTATGAGGATTTTCTATAGTCGGCCGAAATGGCAGGAAGTTCTGGAAATATAAAAAAAAGTCAAATCGAAAATATAATAATTGACTTGCAACAATTAATTACCAAATCAACATCCTTTGCTGCATTTGCTAGATGCAAAGCAGGTGTTTGGCGTAGGTAATTTAACAGATCATCTTTATCTTTAGGTATAAAGCCAAGAACATGGGCAAGCTTATGAGCATTTCGGATCATTTCTTCCGGTGTATGGAATGCCCAAGGACACAAAGGTGTACCGCTCATGCTAATTGATCGAAGAAACAATCCTGAAAAAGTAGACGATATCAAATTTATCGAAGTATCATAATAAACTCGGAGCTTGAGAAAAATTTCTCTACTTATGCTTATGCTCACAAATTTCCTGTCCTAGAAAAATCGTAGCGCAGATGTATAGTCTATCTATTACGAAAGTTAACAATGACGTCAATTGCTGTTAAAATTGACACGAATGAAAAGTGCCTTAAGTCCTATAATAGCATTTCAACCAACAGAAGTCGTCTCAAAGTCGTAATCGTCTCGTTAAGAGATCCAAAGAAAATTTCGAAAAACATTGGAACGGAAAGACTGTGTTTATAAATATGTATATACAATCTGTCAATCGGCTTTTGCCGCAATGTAGTGACCCGTATAAGATCGATATCAGCATATTAGGTTACGATTAACAAAATATAAATATACACAAACATGGCGTTTCCGCTGCGATGTATTTCTGGCAGTACTGCCTTTGAGTCCCCTACGAAAAGATCATTCTATATATATATACATGTATAAGTCCTAATCTAAAAGTAGCAATGTCCCTCCATAGCACATTGTAGACCCAATACGTATCTTTAGAACAATTATTATGTAAAGGGTCCTTTAATTTTTGATAACTATGGAGATTAAAAAAAGATCGAACATTTCAGTGCATACCTCTCGATCGTTCGGACAACATGTGAAAACCAATGGAAGTGCTGCCAGCACTTTCCCCAAAGATCGTCACTTGTTTTGGATTACCCCCAAACGCGGCGATATTGTTTTGCACCCATTGGAGGGCTAATTGTTGATCTTTTAACCCAGCATTGCCTGTTGCATTTGGATGATCTAATGCCAAGAATCCTGCGATTAGAATTAAGATACAATCAAGTAACAATAAACAACTAATTTGAAATGAAGAAGAAATATTAGGTACCTAAAACACCGAGACGATAGTTGAAACTCACAAACACGACATCTGCCTCTAAAAAAAAATCAGGTCCATATAGAGACGAATTGCTATATCCTGAGAAATAACCTCCACCGTGTATCCAAACCATAACCGGCTTCAACTGTAGACGACTTTTGAATTTTAACTAGTAACAATAATTCTTACAGTCTTAAATAGCCTTATATTCTAATTCTGTACTTATATTTTGTTATTTACTATCAAAGTATATGAAGTACAACAATAGTTACCTCCCGTGTGTATACATTCAAATATAAACAATCTTCGCAACCTGTCAGTTCACTTGTTGCGAAATCCGACTGAGGACATACACTGCCCTCTTTGAATGCATTCAGCACCTTCTTCCATCTATCTGTAGGAACTGGAGGCTGCAGTGATTAAAATAACACTCTTAAATCTCTACGGCTAAAGTCGTATAGTCCGCGCCACAATATAGTTAGTTCGTAACTTCAAATCGTGAGAATCAACATCGAATGATGTTACAACAGCAAAGATCGTGCGTTGCATTCTTAGGATTTCAACAGTGAACACGTGCAGTACATGGTTTAAAATTTCATGGAGAAAATGATATTTCATTTACAAATGGAAAATACATAAATATTAATTACTATGTGAGGTATTTAGAATATTCTTCCGCAATATCTGTTTGCAACTGTACAACATATTTGTATCTTCTATCTGCATATACCACGAGGTAAATTAAGATGATAAAGACGTCAGAAAAACCTTTATCTATAATGGCAAAGCGAAACTGTAATGTGAGTATAAACTTTTTCTTTCATATATTAGACAAAACATATTGACTCGATGAAAGATTTTCTCATACAGTTTCAACTAAAATTTTAGGTACAGTATTACCCATATGACACTTAAAATTCCAATACGCGTATAACTGCATAATAATGAATGCAGATAGACGTGGTTATTTTAAGAATATAATATATAAAACTTGATTAATTAGAACAAAGTCAGCTGTGTCAAAGAAAATTTCATGTAAAGATTTCATGTAAGTAGAGAATTTCAGTTTCACGAACTTTTGAAAAGTAATTTTATGGTTAAAATTAGCAATAAAATGTCTATTATTTTCTTCGCTAGTTCTATAAATAGTCACTGTTATACCCCAATAATTTCGTTTTCTGATCAGTTTAGCTCTGCTATTATCTCCGCCACCTCATCAGACCAAGTTCCCGGTATACAGTCGATACTAATTGATCATTAATGCGTATATACAGGCTATGCACATATCGGATGTCGGTATCTCTCTCACTCGTTCCTTTTGTTTCCACCAGACAAATTCGTAGAACGTACTACTGTACTTGTCTGTTCAAATGTTTGTCAATTTTTTTGTCCAGGTAACTAAAATATGTGTACTTTGAATGTTTGATATCGATAATGTCCGAAACCATGTTTCGTTTAATATTACCTTGAATCTCAAATCACCAAGTGGTGGTTTCGCATAGGGGATTCCTTTGAAGGAGGAATATTCGATGGCGTTCCATACAGTGTGCAACACAGTACCACGAATGGGACCAATGGGTGCCCGGACAATGGGTGTTCGGCGAAAACTCGTGATCAGAAACTGTGAGAACGAGATGACAAGAACACAGAGGAAAATACTCGCGCCATTCATGCTGATCCGTCGACGAGAATACGAGGTCCTATGAACGCAAGGGGGATTCGTAACTGACTGGTACATTTTGAACCTTTAAAATGAACGTCTTCGTTTGAATTGAACTGGATATTAATTGACTTAATCGACATTGTTATTTTGCACAATATGCAGAATTTCTTTGGCTTCATTGAAATGAGTCATTATTGAAGTATCAAATTTCACCTGACGAAACTCTTATCTGTAGAGGAATTGTGTCGACTATACGTATATGTTCTTATTTGGATGAATTTCTTATTTGCATAATCGTTGACACGTTTTCCTTTTACAATCGATTGGTAAGATATTAAAACGAAATATTGATACATTGTCTCTGATACTTTATTCTTTTTCATTAATTGTAGCTTTTACATATTTAAGTCTCGTCAAGTAAAGGCCGGGTTCGCAGTAAAGTATAATATAGTTCGTTCCTGGTACAGTATTTTTCGAATAAAATTTGTAACTGTAATCTCTTGTCCTTTCATTATTAGAAAATAAGAATATTTAAAGTAAAATTACTTTAAGATATTAAAGAATGTAATCCAAAAATCGTAGGAGATCAATTGGCTATGCGGGTTAGAAGGGATATGGTCATTGTGATCCTTAAGAGATTAAATCTTGAATGCTGAAGATGCTAAAAAAGTTTGGATAGATGACCGTTTTGCAGTCGTTTGTAATAGGCATAGTGAGATAAAGGAATTTCTCTGTATCCAAGGCACCAGAACTGATTGCTTGTTTACGATTTATCATTTGGGAGTTATCAGTAATGTTCAGCAATCGACCAGAGTTGTTAGATGGTTGCCAGATAACATCCAATGGGTTTGCATCATCAGGAGTTGGATTTCTATAAACATTAAGACAATGTAAAGATACATGTTAAGTTAAAATTCAATTCCAGTTAAACGAATGTAAGTATCAGAATATGTTCATCTAATTTGATAGACAGAGATCTAGTATTTATCTAATACACTCTACTATAGAAATAGGGTATCTAGATATCAAGTATTTAGTATTTGATACTTAATATTTGTTATCTTAATATTGGGAAATCACTAAACCTTGATTTAGTATTTAGTTTAATATTTAATTTCGCACTCAGCTCGAATTAATTTAATATTTAATTTCTGGTATTTAGTAATTTAATGTTTAAGACGTAGATATAGTCTCTTAAACTTTACGTTATTATTCATTGTAAAAGAACTATACATACTGATATTTTGCGAAATTAGCCCACAAGGTGACTATTTTTTGCCTCATCTGATTGAAAGGATACTCCGGATCGGTAGGAGCGTCCAATCTTTGGACATTGAAAAGCAATCCAACGTCATCGTAGTGAGCGATGCCTAAGGCAATTATGAACATCTAATTAATAATTCTTACTATTTTAATTCTCACGGAGACTCGGAAAAAAGATTGAATTATTTACCATCCACAGGAATACCATCTAGTTTGTGCATGGAGTAATTCGACACATACGACAATTGATAATAATAAATAGGGTTTCCATCATCACCTTGCGAGTACAGTCTTTGGGTAAAGTCAATTGGTCCCTTCATGATGTAATCTGATGCATCCTGCAGTTAAATTTTTAGTAAGTTCAAGTGCTTAAAGCTATTTATGTTTTCAAAGTTACTATACATATCTAGCAAAACGAATAGCAGTTATTAAGTTATTCCATCATTCGTTAGTATTAACTTAAAAGACAGTAAATAGGTAGATAATACAATAAACTATTTTAACTCTGTAATAATGTGTCAATAGGTAATTTGAACTACTTAATGTGAAAACAGCAAAAAAGCTCCTGAGTATATTTTTCATCGTATATTAAAAGCATTACCACAGATACAGTCTTGACCAAATCATACAACTTGAGAATCTCGATTGGTAAAATTGGGAAGATTCGTTCCCAGAGATCTATTGTAATATTTAAAGTATGGTACACGCCTGAAAAGTAAAAGCAAAGAAACGATGAGTAATTAATTTATTTAATTTTTATAAATTAATTATATTTCGGTGATTAATATTCATGAGAAAATACATGGGTTCCTACCTTCAGTGAAGTCTAACATTTCATCGTGTGTGAAGCCTACAATCATAGGCATCTTATTGAATTTTTGAGTTGTCATTATATTTATTGGACACTCGGGGAGGAATTTGTGATTAGAATCTATTAAATTAGGATTATCCTTCACAGGTGTAAATGGAAGAGATAGCTACCGAGGAAAATGAAATAAACGTAAAAATTTTGTTTGATCAAGAACCTAAAATTAATAAAAGAAATGATTATCATACGTCGGTAAAAATTGAGAAAATTTTGTTTGTTTTTGTCATCAGATCTTTCGGGTCAGCTTGACGATAAAATTCTAATAGCTCTTTTGGGCTATCAGAATGGAAATCAAGAGCTGCAGCTAATTTTTTAGCATTATTGAACGCTTCCTCGTGTGTCCTGTAGAAATATGGTGTTAGAGTTCCACTTTGGCAGATGGCTTGATGGAATAGACCTGTTAAATTAAAATAATGAATACAAAGTTTTTAATAACAACGAATAAGGAATTATAACTGAAAGAATAAGTAGAAACATATAAGTGATACTAACAGAGATAAAGAGGATTAAAAGAATCAAAAGAATAAATCCTAAAATGGAGCATCAACGCTTTCGCTACGTACATCTCTTTTAGTTAAGACAAGCAATAGCTTTAAAACAATAGAGGGTAAAAAGAAATTTCATGAAACGCAATAGCATAATTTCCAATGATGCAAAACATGATGTACGTGTTTGCCTTGAAACTAAAAATGTTTTATGGATTTGAAAAACTACTTTGACCTGTATAGCAAAACTACTGACAGTTTCAATAGTGTCATAGTGAAATATAAGATTAGGTAATCAGACGTTTTCCATTAATTGAAGCTATAATATACCACTGGATCTCTCGGACAGAACATGATAGGTCACGCTCGCGCTGCCAGCGCTTTGTCCAAAGAGCGTCACTTGGTTTGGATCACCTCCAAACGCGACGATGTTGTCTCGAACCCATTCCAAGACCATCACCTGATCGTACATTGCGGCATTGCCAGGCGCAAGTGTATGGTTTAGGTATAAAAATCCTGTTACACCAATTTCAAAGCATTAATTCGCGATGTTAATTACTATTATGATCGCATAAACAGTGGAATTGATACCTAGAGGACCGAGACGATAATTAAAGGTGACAATAACTACGTCCTGCTCCATGAAAAAGTCAGGTCCATAAACTGATGAGCTAGCATTTCCTCTAAGAAAAGAGCCGCCATAAATCCAGACCATAACAGGCTTCAGAGTTATATTTTTGAATGTTGTCTGTAATAAATAGAACAAAAAGTGAGAAACAGAATTACTTTTACATTGGGTGGAAGAGGATAAAGATTATAATCTTCTATGTTACCATATTACTTAGAAGTTCTAAACTTATCCATTAGGAATTTTAAATTATTTATTTGTTTATTACTTTACTATCATATTTTATTGCCGTATTTTTCTATTGACATTAAGCAATTCATTTGTATCATTTATTAATTTCTGGTTTTCAGGTTAAAACGATAAAATTTCGATTAATCGAAGATCTTATCAGTTTTTACCTCTGGAGTATACACGTTCAAGTATAGACAATCTTCATTTCCACTATAAACACCATGACCCTCTTGAGGACACGAATTAGTATCGTTAATGACATCCCGTGTTTGGTTCCATGATTCGGGTGGAACAGGAGGCTGAAGAAAATATTAAACGAAATTTAAAGAAACATTTAAAAAGTTATAATTTGGACAAGTGGTAATAGAATTCCTTTTATAGTGTATCTGAATTATTTTTTATATCTTTATCAATTTACTGATCAGATACTCAGTTAAATCAGATAATACATTATATTCTATATTTCAGTATTTACCCTAAATCTGAGGTTTCCAATTGGTGGAGTTGCATAGGGAATGCCCTTGAAGGCTGAATATTCTTGTGATTCCCATACAGTGGTCAATATGACGCCTTGGACTGGTCCAGAATTCGTTTGAATTACCGGTGTTCGTGGAACATCGGAACACCCGATCGGCGTTAGTAACGCTATCACCAATATTAGTCCGTACATGTTTTACGGCGTCAGAAAACTTCGTTTTTGTCAGTTCTTACTTCTGTTTTATAGTCACACGATGCTATAAAGTCAAATGATATTGGTAGAAAATTACATAAGTTTTAAAATATGCATCTGCATTTCATTGATCATACAGAGCATTGATCGAATAATGAATAGATAATAAGCTTTATTATGGTATATGGTATATAAGTTCTATTGTGACTACTTACACTGGTACTAATAAGTGTTGGCTATTTAACGTTAGATTAATGTCGACATATGAACCGGTACATAACTGATGAACACTCTTGTACGCAATGAAAATAATGAGTTTGATTTGTGTCTATATATTCTGCACAACTAAAGAAAACTGAAAACGAACTGTTGTTGAATTCCTGTGTTATGTAACGTTTTGTTCAAGGAAGTACAAACAAAAGAACAATTATGGGATGATATTGCGTGCCTTGAACCAAACATAAGCTTCTTATCTCCTTTAATGTGTTTCAAATTGCTTTGACATACGGAGTGCGTTAACTTGAATACCTAATACATTCTAGGTATACGTATATCCATATATATGACTATCCTTTTGCAGATCGTTGTAGATACGAACGATTTTCTTTACAAAATCGTTTTATATGGAATAATCTATTGTGTATATACTATAAATAATTTTTTTACATTCGATTATTAACACGAAAACTATTGGAACCAGTTAACCGCATTTTATATACATTGTAAATGTATCAGCTACTTTTAACGAAATCAACGTTAACATATACGCATATTTATTTTCAGCCTAACACTTTAATAACTATTATCTATATAAAGTTTGTTTAATTAGACATTAAAATTGTGAAATAAGTTGTATAGGATGTTGCGAGAGGTAATTCAGTTCGAAATTAATATTAACTCCTTCGCCTACAATATTATATGAAACTCGTGGTAAAGAGATCGAGTCAAATATGAGTATTACAGGTGAGATCCGGTCATAGTTAGGGCCAAACGTAAACATCATGATCAGACTCGAGGTTAATTTTCGGTTATGTTTTCCTGTCTCAGTTGCGTGTTATTCTTCGCCGCGTTCGGACGAAATGGGTCGATGTATCTCGACGTGCCTCAACGTGTTCGACGTTGCTATTGACACACACCATTGGAAGTTAAATGGTAAGACAAGAGGTTAAATAATATTTAATAATTATATAATAGAATATCAAATAATAATAAATCAATTAAAAGTTCAAATATTAACTTTCTCAGATTAATATCCTATGAAGATACCCGATCGGCGTTAGTAACGCTATCACCAATATTAGTCCGTACATGTTTTACGGCGTCAGAAAACTTCGTTTTTGTCAGTTCTTACTTCTGTTTTATAGTCACACGATGCTATAAAGTCAAATGATATTGGTAGAAAATTACATAAGTTTTAAAATATGCATCTGCATTTCATTGATCATACAGAGCATTGATCGAATAATGAATAGATAATAAGCTTTATTATGGTATATGGTATATAAGTTCTATTGTGACTACTTACACTGGTACTAATAAGTGTTGGCTATTTAACGTTAGATTAATGTCGACATATGAACCGGTACATAACTGATGAACACTCTTGTACGCAATGAAAATAATGAGTTTGATTTGTGTCTATATATTCTGCACAACTAAAGAAAACTGAAAACGAACTGTTGTTGAATTCCTGTGTTATGTAACGTTTTGTTCAAGGAAGTACAAACAAAAGAACAATTATGGGATGATATTGCGTGCCTTGAACCAAACATAAGCTTCTTATCTCCTTTAATGTGTTTCAAATTGCTTTGACATACGGAGTGCGTTAACTTGAATACCTAATACATTCTAGGTATACGTATATCCATATATATGACTATCCTTTTGCAGATCGTTGTAGATACGAACGATTTTCTTTACAAAATCGTTTTATATGGAATAATCTATTGTGTATATACTATAAATAATTTTTTTACATTCGATTATTAACACGAAAACTATTGGAACCAGTTAACCGCATTTTATATACATTGTAAATGTATCAGCTACTTTTAACGAAATCAACGTTAACATATACGCATATTTATTTTCAGCCTAACACTTTAATAACTATTATCTATATAAAGTTTGTTTAATTAGACATTAAAATTGTGAAATAAGTTGTATAGGATGTTGCGAGAGGTAATTCAGTTCGAAATTAATATTAACTCCTTCGCCTACAATATTATATGAAACTCGTGGTAAAGAGATCGAGTCAAATATGAGTATTACAGGTGAGATCCGGTCATAGTTAGGGCCAAACGTAAACATCATGATCAGACTCGAGGTTAATTTTCGGTTATGTTTTCCTGTCTCAGTTGCGTGTTATTCTTCGCCGCGTTCGGACGAAATGGGTCGATGTATCTCGACGTGCCTCAACGTGTTCGACGTTGCTATTGACACACACCATTGGAAGTTAAATGGTAAGACAAGAGGTTAAATAATATTTAATAATTATATAATAGAATATCAAATAATAATAAATCAATTAAAAGTTCAAATATTAACTTTCTCAGATTAATATCCTATGAAGATTTTCCATTTAAAAACCACCCAGCAATTTCGCATAAGTATAGAAAAGTACTGCATACTTAGAATGCCATATGTTTTACACGGGATTCTCGTCTCTTTGTACAACTCTGTACAGACATTCACTATGAGGATAAAACCCTAGTAAATTCTTTACGAAGTACATTCTAATAAAGTGTACGTATATAATAATATAAATAATATAAATTAAAGTGTGATATTATCTCGTTGAAACCATTTGCAATCACGTGGCCGATATTGGTAAGAATAATCATTTTTTCAATGTCCTTTATTTTGTAATGTATCATATTCCTATTCTAGAAAGCAACATATTATAATAAAAGAATTATTACATTACTAGATCACATGGACACAAATAATGACTCGAGCACGGAAGACATAAATTACTAAGCAACGTAAATTTTTATCAGGCAATCCGGTAGATCGAGGTGGTAGTACTTCATCGGTAATAAATATTGGAAGTAATGGCGCAATTTAATTGTCATGTAATACACGTCTGACAGTTTTATCGATATCGGTTATTGGACGCCCTGGTATAGCTTAATTTACAGTTGGATAATTCTAAACGTGTTTCTTTCGGGAAGTGGATTTTCTATTGAAGTTCCACTGCATCCTCGTCTTAGCCAAATTTTATTTCCACGATTTTATTCGTTGTTTTCTGTACAAAACGAAACTCGCGGCCGAGGAGCGCTTGGAAGCGGTAGTAGCTTTTGAGAAACGTTCCACATTCTCCTGGTACTTGAAACGTTGCTAGCTTCAGCTGAGTTTCACTTGAATTTCTTCCACGCTCAGCCCTCGGCTGCCTCCTTAAGTTCAACACCCGCGCTCTTTTATTGTTAGCTACCGGGAAAGGGTATCGAAGTTGTTGCTTTATAATGGAAGAGCCAATACGTGATCGTCTCTATAGGTTCTTCTCATGGCTCTCGTAACGGCGGGCAGGAACTATTAGATAACACGTGACCTGTTACGGAGCTATTCGCGCCCCCTCTTTCAGCTGTGTTCTATCAAGTTTTTATTTTTTAAAATATGATTAACCAAAGAAAGTATACTATATATAAAATATCTGCCTGTAACAATGTAACATGTAATTTATGTTTGAATTGAAATCTTTGATATGTACAATTTATATCCTTGTTACTGTGTTACTGTGTTTTACTTTCTTTGTTTAATTCAGATTAAAACCTGTAATATGTATCCGAATATAATATACATAAATAATATTACACTTCTGTGTCAATAAAAGTCAATATACATTTTTCCAAAAGTATTTGCACGTTTTCAATAACTGCAATAAGAAAAAAGTATGGAACCAGATATTTTTACTGATAGTTCTATTATTTATGTAAATAAAATTATTAAAACATATAAATAATCATAATTTGACAGTTCATCATTGAACACTTTGCTTCCTTAATGTCCTGTTCCTCTTAAGACGCTGTGGATTATTATAAAAGTTGATTGTCAGTTTCAAATGGTAAAATCGATTCGAATCCCTGTTAAACGCTTGACTGGCACATCTATGCCTATCAAAGCTTTTAATGTGTGCTATGGTTAAGTAACTTATTCATTGGCTTATGTTTTTATCGTAAGTAGGCTTTGTTAGAATTAATTTTCTTCTAGAAATGATATGCAATGCAATTGCGATAAGATAAACGTGATACTGAATAAAGTAAATACGATTTCAAGAAATGGAAAAAATTAGAAAAATGAATAAATACGAGGCAAGAAAGTTTCATAAAGTAAGGACAGGCAACGGAGAGTAAAAAAATAACACTGGTATGGTTAATACGTCTTTTTCTACGTGTCTATTTATTATGAAAATATAATACAAAACATCCTATGTTGTATTACATAGATAACAATGCTCAATTAACGTTTTATTCCCTTTTGTCTTGTAACGTTACCATCCAACACTATGAGAAGCATGTCAGGATAGGTAAAGTTCGTGTTCTCTTATTCCATGTTCTTCTTCATCTTCGTCATCTTTTTTTCTCTTTTTTTTCTCGTTTTTCCCTTCGTTATTTTTTTTCCACTTCGTTTGGAGGAAAAGGCCCGATATTACAGAGAGAGAAGATACATATAATAGACGAGAGACGTTACAGAGCGAAAAATTACAAACTGGAACGGAGAAACGAAAGTATTCTGGTGTTCTTTTTGTTATTCTTCATCTTTTTTTTTTTTTTTTTCTTACAAAACGGTCGTCCGTTCGAATGAGCGGAACAGGAACAAGGGTGGGAGCTTATTTTCCATTTCTTTCTTTCTTTTCTCTTTTTTCCGTTTTTTTTTTCTTTTTCTTTTTTGGTTTCGTTTGACTCATCCATTTGGGCTTCGTGGGTCCAGGAATAAGGGTTTTAGGGAAACGGGGCTCTCTTCTTGTTTCGCGTGTCGATGCACAAATTGGAGTTTTGTATTAGCGCTAGTTTACAAATAATACAAATGTATGTAAATATCGTTATTATAATAATAGGTTCTCTCTTAGCGAGAAAGAAGCTTAAAGCTAATTCATCTAGCGTCACTATCGTTTTCACACCATGCTAATACTACGTGTTCCAGGTGGTACCCGTGAACAGCCATGTCGTAGATGGTCGACCGTGTTTGCCGACCAGAGAGATAAATTAGAAAGAACCGGGAGAATGAAGATACAAATTGTTACCGCTTATCGTAGGAAGAGATCGAAAACAAACGATTGCCTCGTTCGATCATACGGGACCCACGTTTTTTTTCGACATTATTTCAAACGATAATTCACCTTCGTTCGAAA